TCGCTGGACTCCCGGATAGTCGACTGCAGTTCAAATCCCAGACCCAGCGTTTCAAACTCATGCAGGGCATATGTGTGTGCATGCTTAAAAGCCCAAGAGAATGCACTGTGGCATGGCCGTCCCCTCCGGGAGTGATGTTTCGCTTTCTGTCTCTCTGTCTTTCTCTGTCTCTCTGGTGAGCACATGCACCCTGTAGCAAAAATACCTCTTAAAAAAAAAAAAAGAAAGAAAGAAAAGAAAAGGAGGTGCCCAGAGCCCCCCCTCGTGCAGACCTGTGACCCGCCCTCACCCTTGCTGAGACACCAGCCTGCCTCCGGCTGTGTTCGGTTTCTGGAAGCAACATTGCAAACCGACACTCTCTGAGCTGCTGTCACTAGCAGCCCAGGATCCTCTGGGTTTGTTTCTTAGCGGCTATGAGGCCACTCACCCCCTTTCCTGTCCGTGTGCAGCCCCAGGCACTGGACTTGACATTCTTACCTGTGTGAGCCAACCCAGCCTCCTGAGCCAAAGGCTGCCGCTCCGTCCGGCTCTGAGTTCCTGCTGCGGGCTGGCTGCAGGCCAGGCTTCGGCAGTGACGCCAGCGTGGCCAGACTTCTGTGGAATTCGGTATCCCAGGAGGCTCTCGGTGACTGGCGACAGCTCCCGTGGTAGCCGAACCCCACAGGGAATAGGCCCTCAGCCCACAGCAGACAGTGAGCTGTGGGTGGAGCCAGAGCGTCTCAGCCTGGCAAGGGCCTGGCCTTGGGGACTCTCCTCCCCACCTCCCCTCAGCCTGAGAAGTCTTCGGTCCACAAGCTCTGGGGAGCCGGGGACAAGAGACGCTCCCTAGGCACCCTCAGAGGAGTCAAGGCCCATTCCCAGGCTCTGGCCGAAAGGACTGCCTCTGGGAACGCTCCTCCTGTGGCTTCGGGAAGGCATGTGGGGCTCAGGTCAGGCTTGGTGTCTCACGTGTATGTTTCTGTGGCGAGGAGAGCCGGGACAAGCTGTTCGGTATGGTCACCCCTGTGAGCTCATCCCGTGAGTCTAGAGTTCTACCACTAAAGCTTAATTCTATAAAGTTTTTAAATCTTTTTAAAGGTTTTTGCAATAGATGCATGTGCTTGCCAGAGAGAGACAGAGACAGAGACAGAGAGAGGGAAAGTGAGAAATCACTCCCCCAGTCAGGGTGGCCACACTGCAATCCCTTCTCCTCCATTCTCCTGGGATTTGGGGCACACATGCACACACACACACACACACACACACACACACACCTGCGTCATTTTCAAACTGCCAAGTCCAGGCCTCAGACCACAGTTGGTCATGCGGGAGTCCAACACCTCAACCACTACGCCACCTGCCGATCCCAATTCTTCTTCTTTTTTTTTTTTTGGAGAGGTTTTTGTTATAGGGCGTGTGCGCTCGCCAGACAGACAGAGAGAGACAGACAGAAAGCGAGAAATCACCCCCCAGGGGGAATGGCCATGCCGCAGTCCCTTCTCCTCCATTCTCCTCTCGGGATCTTGGGCACGCACGCACACGCGCCTGGCATGAGTTTAAGCCACCGGGTCTGGAATGCGAACCGCAGTCAACTACGTAGGAGTCCAGCGACATAGCCATTACGCTAACGGCTGGTCCCCCATCCCAATTCTATAAGAGTTTAAAAGTTCTTCCCAGAATCACAGGTTCTCAGGGTTGGAAGGACCTTAGTGATGATCTGATCTGTTGCATACTTAGGGAGGGACGTTCTCCACTGTATCCTTGTAGGTATTCTCTAGCCTCTCAAGATAGATAGCCTTTCCCACGAGTTTTCCTATAGAAAGTTCTATAAGAGAGCTGGCCCTGTGGGACCAGCAGTTAGTGTCATGGCTATGTCACTGGACTCCCACGTAGTCGACCGCAGTTCAAGTCCCGGACCCGGTGGCTTAAACTCATGCCGGGCGTGTGTGCATGCATGTCCAAGATCCCGAGAGGAGAATGGAGGAGAAGGGACTGCGGCATGGCCATTCCCCCTGGGGGGTGATTTCTCGCTTTCTGTCTGTCTGTCTCTCTCTGTCTGTCTGGCGAGCGCACGCGCCCTATAACAAAAACCTCTCCAAAAAAAAAAACTCTCAAGAAAAGAAAAAAGAGAGAGAGAGAGAGCTGGGCCTGGTGCCTTGAGCGTGTGATCCCAGCTACCCAGTAGCCTGAGGCAGGAGGATCACAACACGCACCACTCTCCCACCCACACACACACACACACGTACACAAGTGAAAAATAAAGAAAATGCTTTTTTCAAAGTGAAAGTTTGCCCACAGGCCCTGGTACTGTTCTTCTTGATTGACGGTCTTTCATAATTCCCTCTGAAAATACCAGTTCTCTGGAAGGAGGGCCTGGGGTGAGGCCTTGGGGGAGAGGCAGGAGCCGGCTCAGTGACTCCTTGAGCTCTGCGACTCTTGTCCCTACCTGAGTCTCTCCACTGGTCACTGAGAGGCTGCAGTGTGGATGGGGGCCTAGACTAGAGGATAAGGAGGGAGATTCCAGCCTGGGAAGAGCCAGTGTTTAGGACATAGGAGGTAAGAAGAGGGGAGGCAGGGAAGGTGGAGTCCAGTCATGCTGGAAGCACTCAGGGAGCTGGCAGAAGCGCAGCTGCCGGGACCGGGGACATGATGGCGGACCTCCTTCCAACTGTTACCTGGAACTCGACAGCACTCAGGAAGTGTGGGCTCTGAGTCGGTTAGAGGGGGTAAGTGCCACACTCAGGGAAGGGGCTTAGGAAGGTCCTGGGTAGCCACGGAGAAGTCAGATGGCAATCGGGAGACTATTCTAGAAATGCAAGAAATGTTCGTGTTGTTGGGGAAGTCATGACGCCTTTTCGCATAGAAAAATCCATCGTGACTTTCCCACTGACCAGCTCTCTAGGCCTGGCCAAGCTTGGTCATGACTCTTAGATGCCAAGAGGGAGTAACCACGCGATGGCTCACTCCGTGGCGTGGTCTTTGGCTGGCTTACTGGGGGGTCGTGATGTGCTCGGGCTCCAGCCAGCACTCTGCACCCCGGGAGAGCACTTGGAAAGGAAAGGAAGTGAAGGTGACCTCGCTGTGAATTGTGAGTGGATATTTCAACCCCCCCCCCACACCTATTACTACCCAAGTCCTCTCAGTAGAGCAGCCCGAGGTGAGTGCTATTATTAAAATACCTTGGGAAGGGGACCAGCAGTTGGCGTAATGGCTATGTCGCTGGACTCCCACGTAGTCAACCACAGTTCGAGTCCCGGACCTGGCAGCTTAAAACTCACATTGGGCATGTGCGCGTGCGTGCCCCAAATCCCACGAGTGGAGAAGAAGGGATTGCTGTGTGGCCATCCCCCCGGGAGGTGATTTCTCTCTTCCTGTCTCGATATGTCTTTCGGGTGAGCACACACACTCTATAACAAAAATCTCTCTAAAAATACAATAATAATAATAGCTTAGGAAGCATCAGCCTTCTACTTCCCCGAGAGCAGAGCTAGAAACAGACTACGGTGGGCAGAGGGGAGAGAGTGGCCAGAATCAGGTCCAGGGGGGAAAAGGGGAGCAGGGGCCGAAGCTGCGTGAATGAGAGAGTAGGGCTGGGGTATCCCACGGGGAGGGGATCCAAGAGGGAGCAGCCATGCCTTGGGAGCCCCCTGACCTCACCACTGGCACACTTGGCCGGCTTCAGGCTTCACAGACCACTCCCCCCGTGCCGAGTTCCGACTCCAAATACCTGCTGCCTTTAATACGAATGTCAGACGCACCCGCACCCGTCACATGCGTCTTTGCTCCTGGGGGGCGTAATCAGAATCCCAGCTGGGAGGACAGGAAGCGGGGGCGGGTGGAGGGCAGGTTGCTGGGTAAAAAGTGACCTCGCTGTTGGGAGGGAAGAGCAGCCTGGCCTTGAGCACGGTGACAAACAGGACCCTCTCGCTCCTTCCTTTCGGGAAAGGAGGGTTCTAGGAAACACACGACGACCCTCTCCTCCAAGCCCTCCCCGTGGGAGTTCCTGCCCAGCCCAGAGAGTAGGTCTGACCCCTGAGTCAGCCCCAGAAGGGACCCTTCCCAGCAGCGAACTCCAGATGAGAAGCCAAGCCCAGGCTTGTCCGCTGGCCTGGCCACACACACACACACACACACACACACACACAGACACACACACAC